TTACAGTTATTTTATCCTAAATTCATGTAGTGCTAAAGAAGACTGAATACCCTCAACAGGTCTATGACAGCAATGATACTGCAGGAAATGACCTTTCCTCTGCTTSTATCTTAATTAAATCACATCATTCTAGAAGCAAGAGATTGTAATTTTTTATTATTTATTTTTCTGTCTGCCKGTACACAGTATTTGATCTTCTCCTGTAATTATGAACAGAGGTGCTGATTGTAATGGTGTATTTTATATAAGATTTTGCAACAGTCTGTGATCGAAGGCCCCTTCACTGCATATCATTCTTCTTTTAATTGATGTTGAAATGTTAACATCATACCTTGATTGCTTTCTTTGCCTTTGTGTTTCTTGGTAGCCCTCTAGTGAAAGGTAAATGAGAACTGTATGAAATACATACTTCAGTTTCATTCTGTTTAAATTCTGGTCTTCACAAGTCTTTGATAAATTTTGCTATGCAGTAAACTCACTCAACTTCTCTTTTCAAAATAACTTGCCTTAAAAAAAAGTTCGTTTTTTGTGGCATTGCTCTTCAGCTTTGAGGAAAACCTGAACATTCCTATCCAGTCTATTGATCCTTATTTATCAAGAATCCTCTCTGTGGTGTCAAGAAGTGAACCACACACTGAAAGCAATCAGAAYTGCTTGAGTCAATCTAATTATTCTTCTCCATTCTCCCAGCAGATGACAGAGMRAAGTGGAAAAGGWAAGTTTTCAGCCCAGATGCCAATGAGTACATTGGAATGGCAGAAAATTAAATGCCAGAAAGGTCCAGGATAACAGCTTTTACTTTCAGAATTTAAAAAACCCTTCATCCTGAGACTTTTCATCCTTGACTGGTGGAGTAGGAACATGTAAACAACTGGTATTGCTTAATTGTAATTTACAAATATGAAATTGCCACATGCAAGTTTAATTTAGAGGTACAGWATTTAGATGTTTGTGCAATTATGCRTAKAAATYATTGCATTTTTTGCTTACATGTTTTTGAATAAATTGAAAGTTTACATTTGGGCATTCAGTAGATTTGTAGATAAATCAGGTTCGTCAGACATGAAGAATATGATTTCATTTACTCAGACTCAAAAGTCCARTATTCTATTCTAATGTTGCATAGAAAATGAGACAATGTCCTCTGCTAGGCCAGATTTTGTTTTGTCAAATGGTAAACTGGACAAATTTCCTGTTTTGATTCTTTGAGTATAGGTAGAATAATACCATGAAAATAAAGTTACTATTTTTTTAAGAACCACTCAGATAGTAAGTACAGGGAAAAGTACCCCCAAAATAAAATCAGTCAGTTCTGATGTTAGTTATATGATAGCCTGTACTTGGGAATGTGAACTAGCAGGTACAGAGGATAAARCAATTCTGAATCCTCGTTTTTGTTTAATAGCTCTGGGCAGTGGTCCCCAAATATGAAATTCTGGGAATGTCATATGAACGTTTCATAGTGAAAAAATATTGGTGTACATCATGGATCAGTGGCTATACAAGTTAGGTGTTGCATAGGTGCTGGTTATGTTTTTCTTTGCTGAGTGAGACCTGATTTTCCTTACATGCAGCTCATGGTAGCAGTAGTCYTTTGGTTTTTATGCATGTGGGAGAGAGGGATTGTGGCCATACCTTTWTACCTTAAAGCCAATTCACTGTGACCTTCTCAGGTCCCATGTAGTTGATTCTGGTCACAGCAAGTCACTGTTTCCTACCTCATTGCACTTTGAGACCYGCATCTCTGTGCAATAATGATTCGCTTTCTAGGTGTATTATAGTACTTCCAAATTACACTGGAGAGTTGCTTTTTCTTTGTCCTCTGGTCATYGTAAAGATTATAATGTAGGATTATTCAGCACTAATATGTGGTATCTGTCACTACTGACCTCACATTTCTTTCTGATTGCCTATGCTGGCAGCACCAGGCAGGACAATTTTCCTTTCTGATGCTGTATCTTTGTATTTTGTCTTTAATTGCCTGGATTCAAGGGCTACTATAGTGGTAACAATGCATGATATAGGAGGCATCCTCTTGCCGTTTCGTGACATTGGTGAGATTTTCGTTCTTTTTCCTTTACTCTGAAGTTGTTGTGGGCTTTGTGTGAGCTCTGCTGAGCTCATGGGCCTCAGTTCTGCAAAACTCTTCAGCAAATGCTGGCTACTGTGCCAGTCCAGCATCAGGTGCTTTGGCCCCTGCAGCGCCAAAGCATAAAACTGATGGTGTRCTGKGGCTTTGGGCCAGRTTTTCACTGATAAGYRTGACTAAAAGAYTCTTACTTGCCTGCCTTAGATCTTCTTATRTATTGTGTTCTAATCTCAGATGACTGTCAGTTCTCACAACTGATACAGGACAGACACCCTCCATGTAATACTATTTCCCCTGGCTCGACTGGGAGGCTCTGATTCACTGTGCACAGTCTGAGGCAAGAGCAGCAGTGGGGTTGTGTACAATGTGAAACTTCCCCAAAAGAGGTCGCTGACAATTTGGTGGATGGCAATTTGACAGTGAGCTGGCAGTGCCCTTGCAGCTAGGAGAGCCAGTGGTGCCCTGGGCTACATCGAGAAGAGTTTGTGTCCAGCAGGTGGAGGGAGGTGATCCTGCCCCTCYGCTCACCCTGATGAGGTCACATCTRGAGTGCTSTGTCCAGTTCTGGGCTCCTCAGTGCAGGAAAGACAAGGAGCTACCAGAGAGGGTCCCATGGAGGGCCACAAAGATGATTTGGGGTCTGAAGCATCACTTATGAGGAGAGACTGCAGGAGCTGGGCCTGGTTTAGTCTGTAGAAGGAATGGCTGAGAGGACATCTCATTAATGCAAATAGATATCAAAAAGGCAGGTGCCAAGAAGGTGGTGCCATACTCTTTTCAGTGCTSCATAAGGAAAATTTGCGATAAACTAACACACAAGAAGTTCCATCTCAAAATGAGGAAGAACTTCTTCGTGTTTCAGKTGGCAGAGCCCTGGAACAAGCTGCCCATGGAGGTCATGAAGTCTCCATTTTTAAATTCCTGTGTCACCTGCTGTACATGACCCTGCCATGTCAGAGGGGGTTGGACTGGATGATCTCCAGACATCCCTTCCAACCCTAACAATTCAATGATTCTGTGATGATATAATTTACTTCATCGAAGGAAATGCTGTCTTTGATTTTGGTAATCATGGTGACCAGAGGTGAAATCTTATCTAGAAGACAACAATTTGTAAATGCCATGCTGGTTTTTAGCCATGGCACAGGTACAGCACAATCAATGGTCAGTCCCATGCCACTTCACCCAGTTTATTTCTTCTTTCATTTCCCTGTTCTCCTCAATAAAGCTTCATTTATATACCTTCCCATCTTCTCTAAGTATCTTCTGCCTCTTCTGATCTCTGATCAGCTGATCTCTCCTGATYGTACTTTACATAATTGTAATTGCAGTAA